ATTACCTCATTGATTTATATAATTATCACCTTTAACTGTCGTAAAATGTAAATTTTTGTCCACGAAATATGATTTTACCCTATTATAGATCCAGTGTCGTGCCTAGATTTATAGGGTCCGAGCCGAACTTAAAAATAAGTTTTTTTACATATGATTTTTAACCATAATTATAATATAATTCCAGATGATTGTTAGAGTGTCAATAAAAAATTAAAAATAAGCTTTTATTTTAGCATTAAAATGGTTTTGAATTTGGGATGAGAATCTCAAAATTTGCTCTTACCATATTTTTATCAGTATATTATAATTAATCTTTAGAATATGGGACCATAAATTACGTAAAATCATCCGGAGCCCCGAGACGAATGCCTCTTTAATATAAAGGGAGGCACAACCTTGTATAGATAATAGATCAAAGGAAACTAAAATTACGTTTTTACTTGTTGAATGGACTAGTAGTCCAAGCATAAAAACAAATATTTCCGTATATATTGTTATTAAAATTCTCTATACTATTTGTCCATTTCTAACAAAATTAAGTTGATAAAAATGTGTGAATTTCTAACTTTATTGGTTCATATTAATTTCTTGACATTTCATTTATATCCAAGTCAAAATAAGCATCAATATTTTCAATTTTTCATTCTTTTGTTTTTATTTTTGTTTAAAAAAAAATAAAGTGTTAATTAAGGGGCTTGCCCCATGAGTACGGCACAGACAACATTAACGAACTTTCTCCACAATTCTCTCGAATCATCGTGTAGCTTCAAACTCTTTGATTATACAGTCTTGTTTCTATTAATTAATACCTTTCCATATCCTTTTAATTTGTCGTCATATTTCTTTCTAATTTATAAATGGAAATGAATGGTAATCACTGACAATTATAAACTGCTAAACAAAATTCTTGAGTTTTGTCGTTTATAATTTTTTTCTCTTTCTTTGCAAGTGTAGTATTTTTTTTTTTTTAACTTATTGTTCTGTTTTTATAGATACTGAGAAATAGAGTATCTAATTGTTAATGTTAACACTACCGTCAAAAACGATTATTGTTGCTCGATTCAAATCGATATAAATTTAAAAGAGCAAAAAAAAAAAAATTCAAACCTTTATATGAAAATATTAAATTTATCCACGGCTTCTATAAGTGATGATATTATATTTAGAATTTGAAACGTAAATTCATAATTGTAGCAGGGAAACAATTTAGGGCAAAAATACAAGAAGGATTGATATATTTTCAATTCGAAGATATATGTATCACGTGGCCAACTTTCCGTGTTAAAATACAGCCAATGGTTTTGTGCCACGTAGTTGAACAGAACATGTAAGACCCAAGTGCACTT